GTCTGGCATGTGCGAATCATTTACTGATCACATGTGAATATAAAAAAAAGAAATATGTTAAACGTAAAGAGACATAAACGACTCATCAATCTACATATATTCACGCATTCATAATACACATATCGAAAGAATTGTGCAATATTTTAATTGCATAGGTTACTATAAAAATGCGCGTTATTTGCAAGGTGTAAAGGTGCATTTACGAAACTAATAGAATAATAAATTGATTCTGATAGTAACGCGATTCGCCGCGTTGCAGTCGTATGCGATTATAATTGATGGAAAGAATAGGCGGTGCTGATATCAAGAATGAATTTCAAATGTGCGTTGTATTCCGGATGAGAGAGCGAGAGAGGAAATGAAAGAACACAGATGTAAGGAGCCGAGTAGGAAGTCGATGGTTGCATCGTGACTATCGACTTCTTTAGCCGTATTATTGAGACGGAACGAATCTGTGTCCACACGCGTCACGCACATGTGAGATGCGCGTATGCATATTTGCATGCCCGCGAAGCTTGTTCGCACGTACGTGAACTGCATTCCTCGATAATTTTATATGCTCCTGTCGCCGCGCTCGCTCCGATCCCGACGCATTGCGATTAAGCTTTTGATTTATCTAAAAAATCGGAACCTGTTATTTTTTTCTATTTCTATATTTATTATATTCCTATAAAAAAATCTTAATAACATTCAAGAAATATCAGCGAGTGAATGTAAAATATTTAAAATGGTGAAATGTTTGAAGAGCCTCTCAATATTTGTATTTTTGCACGGAAACATTTCTGAATAATATTTTCGCGCTCCTATGATTTTTATGATTGAATAAAGACGCGATTGAAGTTAGAAAACTGTCGTCGCGGAAATACGCTCAACTCTTCCCGATAACCTTCGTTCGTGCATTGTCGACGCGGAAATTATACGCCTTGAATCCATCAATTCTATTCCGCTGACTTCTCTCTGCCCACTACTTCCGTAATCATCATCGACGTCAGTTCGGTGATGCACAAGTTTCATCCGCGCTTCGAATTATTAAATTTTTCGATTAAGTCGCCGGGAATTTTCCGCGAACCGTCCATTAACCAGGTTCAACGAATGGAGATTCTCAGATATTCCGTGTCGGAGCCTAGTGTATTATTTCCCCGCGGCAATTTAGCGTATCTGAATTAAATAATTGTCTGTCATGTGTTCCTTCGTGCTGTCATCCGCGATCTTACATTGCATAACGTATAATATTGTTAATATCGCAATTATCACAGGTGTTATTTTACTGCGAGTAAATTTTTCGAGCAAACAACGCTGTAACTGAATAATTTGGTGTGTTGACTTTTCATTGTCGATGAAATAATTTTGTGCGTTACGATTCAAGTCGAATGTGACGTAAATTCGTCGACTAATTCAGCGTACGAACGGAAGAATTGCGAAAGTACGCGAATCTTGCAAACATCCGAATATTTTGCATTCCAGTTTTCTCGAAATACTCGAATTATATAATTTTACTCGAAGTCACAATCCGATCGTTGCATTTGTGTGATAATGTCGAAAATTTAAAGTAGCATAATTATTCGAGTATTTACGGTTTTGTTGCACGCTTGGCGCGTTCGCGACGATTACGCGGCTGGAGATCGCGATTTCACGCCTGTGCGCGCGATCCGCGCATTTTACGCGAGCATCATTACGAAAAATGAAAGTGCGAATCGAAGTGCAGAAAAGAGAGCGAGAGAGAGAGAGAAAGAGATGTCGCGAGGAAAAATGCGTTCACGCGTCACGTCGGTGCCGCGCGATGCATGTCGATAGCGCGCAATCTGCAGGACTTATCTCCTCCTCATGTTTCCTATTATTTTACAGAAGATATCGCGATTTCGTCCTACTCTCGTATGCATATCAAGTGGGCGTATGTGTCGCGCGTACGCGCGTTTTTCAGGGAAGAAGATCTTTGATGCAACATTCTCCCGAGGGCGTATCGCGACCGTATCACGTCGGCGTCGTAACAGTCACGTATTTCGATCGAATTACGCGCCGCAATTATTTCTCACGTATAATAGAGAACCGCGAGTCACCGGCGCGCATTCATTTTTATGATAACCGCCCGACCGGCCGTTATTATGTAAAGTGAACACATACATACACGCGTATATTAATCCCGTTAACCGCGCGATCGCGCGCTGCACAATGCGACGCGATCTCCCTGCAAAAATGTGCGATTTCGCAGAAACTCGTAGACGGCCAGAGATCGTGTTTCTCGCGCGGATCGATTTACACGCTGTTACACTTTGAAATAAAACTTGACTCGCGAAAGCAATTCCGCGGATATATCGCTCTGTGTTGTTTCACGGCGCTGGAAAATCGCGGTTCTCCGATCGCGAGCACGTATCGCGATGATACCCTGAATTGTTTTTCTTCCATCGCTCGATACGTATGTCGGACATGCGAGCAAATCGAGAGATACTTTCCCTACTTTCGCGCACGGCTACCGTCCGAGACGACTTCTAGTAGCGATTGAGCATTGTCCCGCGCTGACGGCCACCGCCGGTCGGCGAAACCGGAACTCGAGAAAGTTCCAAAAAGATCGACGAGACAGGTCGTGAAAATCACCGTGGATCTTAGAGCCGTGAGAAATCGTGTCTACGAAAGCCGACACTGTAGCGTCGATGTCAGCCGCTCGATGAGAAAGCAGGAACCAAAACAAAAATTGTGCAATCAGCCGTGCGATCAGCTTTTTCGGCGTTCGATTGTATAATGAACGAGGCGAGACGCGGGCGGCGCGCGCGTGCGAAAAAAAAACCGGTTTCCCGCTGAATCACACCTGAAACCTGTCCCGCGTTTAATACTCTCGCCGATTCGACGCACTCGGTCGTGAACGCCATAGCGCTTAACGCAGTGTTTTGTTTGGAATTATCGCCGTTTCGTCGCGCCGCGATCGACGCACGGAAATCCCGCACGTTCTTTCTGCCGATTCGTTCGGCGAATTCACCGAGCCGGTTTCGGCGCGCTGATAAAATCACACGCGCGTTTTTGCGACGGCGGATTCGACGCAGTAGCATTTTTAATCGATGGCCAAATTGCATTCGAGCGAGGATCTCCTCCGATCGCGTTTCACCGCTAAAAATAAAACAAGACGCTCTCTCACAGTTGAGTGGTTTGAATATTCGCGGATTATTATTAGCGAAAATGAAGGAAAGGAAAGGAATCTTGAGTGATTCTCACCGCGATATTTTAAGATTGTTTTCAGGCTTATAACATTTACGCTGTATTTTTGAAATTTATGCTAATTATCAGGCCACAGATGTGGAACTAAAAATTGCCAAAGAATATTTACAGCGCGACGACTCACTGCTCGCTTCGCAAATCTCATTAATATTTCTTTGTGCGCGTTAATTTGCGGTTGTGGATTTTCCGGTGTAAGACGCTGCGAAGGAAGAGAAAAGAGAGACAGAAAAGGTAGAAAAATATTATTTATGATCTCGCGTTTACGCGGTCATGCACCTTTTGCGTCGCGCCTGCGGCGTGGCTCTCGTGATTTCGCAATTCGACATTATTTTCTCACAAACGGTAGTTGAATACGCGCTCGTTGATAGCGACATAAAGGAGAGACGCCAACACGATGCGTGGTGCGTTCGCCTGCACGTATGCACGGGGTCACTGCGTACACGTTTTACGCGGTGGTAAATGCGCAGAAGTGCATTCGGCACTCGCAGTCTTGCTTCCAAGCGCCTCTGCCTTTGCAAGATTTTTTCGGAGAGAATTTTTTTCGCGGATTTTCACGCGATTTCGACCTCCGCAGATTTCGCTTGGAAGGGAAAAAGAATGAGCTTATCGATCGCCGCGAGAAGAATCTTCGCGCGCGCGCGATCAAACGACGAAGTCGCAGTCTCATTCGCGGCAATCGAAAACAAGGCGATTTCAAATATAGATTTCGCCGCTATTACCAGTCACGGCGAAAACGACGGCTATGTTTATTCGCGACAATTGGCGCGGGGTTCATTCTCCCGTATCTATAGCGCGCGCCGGTGAATTGAATTCACCGAGATTACTGTTAAAGGTTTCAGTCCGTGCTCGGCCTCGCGCAACACTCCGGGCTATGAATAGAAAATGGAGTATAACTATCGTCGGCTGATTGTTCCGAGACGATCTCCACCGCGGCGCCGGTTATCCTGTTATCTATTTAGCGCGAAGGGACGGAGATGGATCTTTGGGTCATATAAGAATGCGCGGTCTCTCCGCTCGCGTCCTCCTCCTCCTCCTCCCCCTCCCTCCTCCTCCTCTCGGCAGCAACCTGCTGCAGCCGGCGATGGAGGACAGACAAGCCTCGGCGGTCTCGGCCGTGGCTGGTACCGCCATCCTCTCCTATCCCTTCTCATTCTATCGGATCATCTACCATCAACGATCGCGCTCGCTACTCCATTCTACGAAGACCCGGCGCGACAGCTCTCGGCCGACCAGTCCCT